GACACCAATTCACACCCTCCCACTCAGAGGGCTGCCCAGTTTCTTTTTGACTGTCTCTCGTGTGGGGGAGCCCACGACCTCCAGTTGCTTCCACCTCATTTTCCCCTCTTCCATTTGTTGCCGCACCATTCTGCTTAGCCTAAGGTACAATTACCGTTAAGCAATGAGCAGTGCTGTTTAAGGCTGGTTTACTGACAAAGATCTTAAATAATGGCTGCAATGTTAAGTTCCACCCAAAATCTACTCCGTATTTTCAACCACTCCTCATACAATTTCACTCCATTTCCAGATCCCTCACCATCCTTCTGGAGGTGCTGCAGTTTATCAATGTCCTTCCTGACATGCATTGCCCAAAACTGGGTGCAGTCCTCCAGAAGTGCATTGAATTCGTTTATTTCATTTTCATGTGTTAGTTGGCTTCTAACAAAAGCTGCTCATCAGTTCTCTTATCAGTAAGAGAGGTTCTTCCCAAGGAAGTTCTCCAAATCTACTCGTTCCCTTCCTGGCTTTTTTATCATTTATTTATTAATTAAAAGCCTTTCTAACCCTACAAACATCTCGGGACGGCTTACAATAAATGGTGATTTGTTCCTGTAAAATATGTTTTTTCTCACTTTCTGCAGAAGCTGAATGGGATTCCCATCGTATGCAGGTAATTATGGCAATTGTGGCATCTAAGGATTAAAGTCTGCATTCTCTCACCAATGCCTTCTGTGCTATCACTACAGTGTCAACTAGAGACACTGTACAAGCATTTGTATTTTTGTATTTAGTGGTAATTTATTATGTTCTATTGTATTTCAATGTATTTTATTGTGTTGTAAGCCGCCCCGAGGCTTCGGCAAGGGGTGGCATAGAAATGTAGTAATAATAATAACAACAACAACAACAACAACAACAACACAATTATTATACCAAACCCCAGAGAACGGAGGGAGAGGGCAATCACATGGCTAAATAGTTGATTCGCCCATCTCAGATTTAAGACACCCATGTGCCACAACCAGCCAACAAAAATACATCTGCTTCCAAAATTGTTGCTAACTTTTATGAACGTAGGTGAATCTGTAGGATACTTGATATGTACGTGGACTGCATTTTGCCACTCTGGGTAGAGTCCAGTGGTGCCACTCCTTCAAGCTGAATGAGAACAGTTGGCCAGCTAGAGTTCCCCTCCCTGCTGTAAACGCCCCCTCACCGTTCACCTAAATCTGCTCCAGGATGTTGAAGGTCCCTCTGCAACAGATTTAGGAAGCACCGGGCAGAGGAGGGGGCAGGGAAGCTGTTCCACAAGCAGGCATCCACTGACGCCATGTTGGCTAAAAGCACCCTGCTTCCAAGACCCAGCGTTAGACGGAGGTGCCTAAAATATCTGATCGGCTAAGGGTCTTGTAATTGGAACAAAACTTATTTAAAATGAATAGAGCCATCAACATTTTCAACACAGGCTTTGCCCTGAAAGAAAGTCACAAGGATCAAATGATTAGGCTGAAATGGCTGTTAACCTCATGCCATGGCAAAGCAATTGTTTTCAAAATGGATTTTAACTTCCATATGCTATAATGAATTTCTAAGGGACTGCACTGAAATAGATGGCATATTCTATCCTTTGGAGTCATCACCTACGATATTGCACTGCTCCCAAATTGCAGGGTCTTCTAAACTTGAGTATCCCGAAGGAAGTCATTAGTTATATTATATTAGCTGCAATTGCAGCATTATCAACCCAAATAAATACCTTATTGATTTGGACCCATGTTAAGATGCTTAACGGGTTCAAACAAAGGAACAGGAATTTAATGCGGTAAGTAAATACTTGGCTATCAGAGCTTAGAAATAAGATGAAACTGTCACAAATTCAGAGATCTGAAATTAATGCAAGATATTGTTCAGGCATTTAGATAATCTAATACCTTCTTCAAAGTTCTTTTTTCTTCTTGCTGTGAACACTTGGGACAGATTCACCTGGCTAGAAACCCCAAGCAAACCCCAAACACATCGGCAAACAATCTCCAGATGTTTAAGACACAACAGAAACTCTGCATGCACACACATATATCGTGCCTACCAAATTCAGGCAATTTCACTCTTTCTTAAAAGGAAGAAATGAAACCCTACAGGTTGGGACCACCTACTTACCTTCATATTTATTAAACGTATATTTTGCCCAGCTGACAGAGATCTTTGGTGTAATTTACAATCATAATCGGCACCTATGTCACACATTATCTTGTAATGAGAACACTGTTTGATTTTAATGTATGCATATCCATTCTCAGCCAAAACTTTGCCGTTGAATCCATTGAGTTTGTAGCTGTTGAGTTACCAGCTATTAAAGAGAAAATGGGAAGCAGAAGCTCTCTACAAGTCCGGCTGCAAATCCACTCCCTTTTTTTTCTCATCTTCCCTCCCCATCTGTTTTTCCTTCTCTGATATGTCCCCCCTGACCTCAGCAAGACAGGCCACCCAGAAGAGCTTCAGCAGATGCCCTCCGGGAGTGATCCAAAGGGTCAAGTATTGCCGACTAAGGTGCACTGGGAAGCTCAGGCCAGGGAATCTGTGGGCCCACATGTGGCCAAAAGATGCATCCAACGTGGCTGGTATTTAAAATAAATAAAGATGACATTATTCTAAGGGAAAGTCTATTTTAAAAAATCTAGAGACCTGATTTTGCCAGCAATTATCATAAAGATCAAGGCAACCTCTTCGCAGAGAGCATTATCTGCAATTCAGAATCTATTAGAAGGATAAAAATATGTGGGTTTTGGTATCTCACAAAATCTTCAGATATATTGGTTCTACATAGAGAAGACCCATTTACATGAATGGGACTTTGAGTATTCATAACTAATTCAAGTCTCCTTTGCTTCAATATGCTTACATAGGACTAACTCTAGATACTGCTCTTAGGCTGAGAAAAAATCCAATGACTCCAGTAAGCCATGCTGGCTAAGAATTGCTGAGAGCTTCAGGACTTTTGTGTGTCCAAGCATACAGACTAGTGTATCCTTAAACTCTTAAAATGGTCACAAAGTGCAGGTCCATCTATTTGGAAGAGATAAGAATGCATCTGCTTTTTCTAAAGTACAGTTCATGCCACCAAAATGTTAAAAGTGAGAGAGCCTATTAAAATACGGACATATATGATGCTTCATGCGCTGAAGGCGTTCCTGCAGCTGCTACGCACCTCGGCGTACATTTCCGCAAGACAAGATGCTTCCCAGCACTGGGGACCAGCCCTAACCTAATCAAGCATGGGGGAACCAGGAGGAGCAAAGCCGCCAGCGGGAGCAAGGACGACAGCGAAGGAAAGAAGCTGCCCATTGTCCAACGCATTTATCATACGGAGAGGCGTGTGTCTGAATGATGCATGCACGGGCACGCATGCACAAGGAAGATACTCCGCATTCTGCCAGGCTGATTCTGTTGGTCTAAATCAAAATAACACTTTCACAGTTCAAAAGTGCTCTTCAGCTGGAGAGCTTCTTTTGCAGGTCTTTTTAACACATACGCTTACTTCAGAATTAGAAGTGGCTTGATACCTTTACATGGTTCTCATTTTAACAGCATCTCCCATCCTGTACCTACAGTTAAGTTAGGAACTCAAGACATACGACTGAGATGAAATTTGCAGAAAGGGAGAAAGAGAACAGCAAACTCCTGCCTGGCTGCAAATGGTGTGCCTTCTCCCTTACTCTCCCTGCAACACTTCTAACATGACCATATGATAGCTAGAAACTTCTGCTTCCATTACTTGTACTGATTGATTACATTTCAGCAGCCAAAGTCCTTTGGGAGATTTGCAAAAATTAAAACTCTAAAATTTAACATGAAAAAACAGAAGATAAAATGTTCAATCTTTGTAAAACCAAAGAAAATAAGACCAAGCCACAGCAGCAGGGTTAGAAGCACAGTCACACATTTAAAATAAACTGGAAGATTAAAAATGATAATAACTCTGTGGGAAGACAGCTTAGATTGTCTCAATCAGGACACACTCTACCCCGCACAAAAGCCTAGAAGGAAAAAGCTGGGAACTGAAGGGCTTCTTTTCTGTGTAAACGTTACAGGATGATGCTCTCAGCTGTGTTTTCACCAAACAACTGTTTTGTGGCATAACCAGTGTTACTAAAGCAATTAGCACACGGTACAATCTACATTTCATTTCTCCCAGTCCCCGGAAATAGAGCGTGTGCATATTTAGGGTCATAGCTTGGCGTAACATTTCACGAAGAGGACAGCAGCCCATGAAAGTGTATGCCACAATTCAGTTCTTACCCATGAGGCAGAGGTGAGGAACATGAAGTTCTCCAGAACCTTTGGGGCTTCAGCTCCTACCCAGCATGGCCAACGCTGAGGGAAGCACAGCCCAGCAATATCCCCTCATATCTGCTTTCGGGTGTCACAGCAATTTTTCCCAGAGCGTGCAGCCCCCTGGCAACATCTATGAATTTGATTCTGAGAAGCCAGCCTGGTCCTCCACAACCCGGCCTTGCAGGCATCTGAATTCTAAACGCCCGGTTTTCTTTTCTTTTTTCCTAAACCTGACCATTGTCTCCCGACATCTACTCACTGAAAAATAATTGCATTGACTTGAGGTGCTCCAAACACTTTGGATCTACCCCCAGATTTGCAGTGCTTAAAATAATTTCATTTCATGGAATTGCAGAAAGGGAGCCAGGCGGATGGGGAGAATTTCACAGGGAAAGTATCTGGAAGTTTTATTGCTTGTAAAAAGATAAAACAACACTACGGTGATTTTTTAAAAACCATCCAATATAATTACTGTCAAAATTGCAACTGGAAAAGCGGGGTTGCTTTTTATTTTAATTTTATTAAAGAGAAGTGAACAAAACCTACCCAAGGCACCACAATAAAATTACATTAACTGTAAAATTACATTATTAATTCTTTAATCTCACTCGAGGCCTCAAGCTGTTGCTATGTCCAATTACCCAGCTAACCACCTGTCAGAATTGTAAAGCTAGGTTTAACATCACCTCCAGGACAGCTGTGTGCCCTGTGATCCGTCAGGTCTGCCAGAGAGTCGAAGTCCTGCTGACAGTTATCGCAGGTGTAAATTGAGTCATCCTCCATGTCTTCATCTTCCTCATTTCGTTCTTCCTGACTTGTAACGCTGTTCCTCTCTTCCAGAGCCCGGCTCTCCCTCGTATCATTTTCCAGTTCTCTTCCCAAGCCTCCTGGAAACAAGAAACTCTGCTATAAATCTGCATCACGCGAAGTTTAAAAAGGAAACGACAGGCACATGCTGGAAACGTGGCTGCTATTTCCAGGTTGTTTCTGACCATTCTTGCAACCCGGATTAGAAGGGGGCTGTTTGGCTTTGAGATCTACACCTCCGCTGTTTGTTTATTGCCTTAAAAAAAAATAAAAATCACATCCTGATTTTCTTCCACTAGGGGAACTCAAAGTTGCTAACCGCACAGAGATGCAATTAATCAAGGCAATATCAAACAGAATGATAAAATATTATAATAGATTCAGCAGACAGAACAGATTATCTCTTCAGTTTCCCCCAAAGGCCTCTTTAAAGAACCAGGTCTTCTCAAGGCAGCGGAAGGTATATAGAAGGGGTGGGGAATCCATGTGCTCTTCGTCATGAGGTTCTAAGCACCTTTCACCAGTGGCAGCATAGTGAAAGCAATGGTCAAGCATTATGGGAGCTGTAGTCCGTAAAGATCAGGAGAGCAGCATGCTTTGGTCCTGGTATACAGTGAAGATTTCTTTCTGCTTATCTCCAGCATGGAAACTTGTTCCTTATTTCATCCTTTCCTCAAAGCAACAGCAATTGACTTCCACATGATCTCAGATAAGGCATAAAACTCTGAAAACTTCACAGCATGTAAATTTCACCTACTAGTTAGGGCTAGTGCTGTGTTTCAAGACTGAATATTTTCTTTCCAGATCAGAAAACGATTTGCATGCAAATAAATAAATCTCGGGGAAAAAGACAAGATGGTATCAGAAGTCAAAGCACATTAAAGGGCATTTTTAAACACCCAGAACAATCTTAATTAGTAGGACAAAGGGATGCCATGTAACGAAGTAGCTACAGGCTGGTTCAGAGAAGCAGAACTCATAGCTCAAGGATAGTCTATAACCACTGTCAGTATCATTACCGGATGCTGAAAGAACTGGGTGAAACCACAGAAAAACCGTGGTGAGCACTGCCAGGGACTACGAACTCACCTGTACAGAATGAGGGCACCCAAGCCAGTAGGTATTAAGGCATAACTTAGCTTTTAAGCACTGAAGGTCTCCCAGTGTATGCCTGGCCAAAGACTGTTTTCATAAGCACCTTCTGCATTTGCTAGCGTGTTCTCACTCCCAGAATGAAGCCATTTGTTTCCTCTGTGGGCAAAATACACCCTAGTGCTGACTTTCCCATAATCATTACACCACACAGACACCAGACTGGGGCAAACAAAGGTCAGCTTTGTCTCAAAGAAAGCACACAAAGTTTGCTTGGTATCTCAGTTCTTTTTCTGGAAAAAAAATTGCGACTTTAAAGCAAGTTGTTCAAAAGGTTGAGCTGCTCGTATTTTAACAAAATCTGTGTACCTGAAGAATACTCCCTATAGGCACCATCTAAAGTCCATATTTACAATATCGCCAAAATGGTCACTTTGCACAAATGCACAAAAAGATTGAGGAAACATGGGAGAATTATTGGATTGCAGTCCCAGCCTCTTCCAAGTTCAGGGCACTCAAGTGCCACCAAAATCCTGAAGTCAATGCTAAGCCAAACCTCTGCACATCACACTTTGATATAGCTTATTAGCCATGTATGAGCCTTAACAAGTCACAGTAAGTCCTTACTTCCCATCTCTTGTTTTTACTGAATACCGCTTGCTGAATTGTCCAGACCCAGGATTGTACTTAGTATTGTGTGCATTTAGTCCAAACTGTCGCTGCTGAAGCTACTTCCTGCCAAGTTAGCTTGTGTAAAACTGACACAGTTTATGTCAACCACAACTGCCAGTCAACCATCACAAAAAATGCTGAAGCAAATACCAAAGCAAATGCTCTAAACCTCTTGACCCAGCCATGTGGAAGGAAGAGGGAATGGAGAATTTACCAGCTCCAGCATCTCACTTCTAAGCCATCGTTAGGTGCATTAGTAGGAAAATTCATCATCCTCTAGATATTTTGGGCTACAACTGGGCAGTCCCAGCCAGCATAAGCTAAGTTAGGGGATAATGGGATCTCTACACCAAAACTCCTGGAGGAAACCAACACTGCAGCTATTTAACGAGAGCCACTAAACCCCAAAATTTGACAAATTTGCTGGGCTGAGCCAACTAGCATAAATTTGCCAATGGAAAAAACCACCATGTAATCTTTTTTCCCCTGGGGAAATAATCACAATGTGCAGTTTCCTTTGGATAACAAAGGAAAATTTTAAAATCTATGCATGCATGTTTAGTGTATCACAAGATCTCTCTCTCTCAAATCAACACATTTTGAGATTCTGAAATGGTCACCGCATAGCTCCACAACATCTTATTCATAACTTTAGCCATCCAGCTTGGGGCAGGTCACAATTTCTGGAAAGAAAAACTATTTTTCAGAATAGTAGTTATCTAAATCTGATGTTTCCTTTTCGGCATCTTATGCTCTTTTATAGCATGCTCATTTTATTTCAGTAAAATTAAGAAGGGAAAGAAGGCAGGAGTCCTTGCTGGCTCTGTACTACCAGTTGATGTTATAATCATAAGCCATACTTAAAGCCATGCTTTCCTCCAATGACTGCATTCCAATTATCACTTTCCAGTTTGTCTTATTTACTGTGTGCACCTTTAGAGCATTCTTGCATTCCAGACGCAAATCATGAACATTAACGCCAATTCAATCTCTTTAAAAGACTGCATGTCCTGTAGAGCTGATAGTTAATAAATCAGGATGCCAACTCACTGGTTTTATAAGGCTGAAACCTATAAAAAGAGTCCAAGTATATAAATTTAATTTAAAGAACTGCCATCCAAATCAGCATTCACCGCTAATGGAAAATGTTCAGACAACCACCTCTGAAGCCAAATGTTGTCAAAGCCCGGCATGTAAAAGTTCTGGCAAAACTTATCCAAGGGACCCATTTTTATCATTCATTTCTAAAGCAGCTTTAGTGCTCAGGGCATTTTGCAATTCTTATTTAAGCATCCCTCTGAGATTGCCCATTGATATATTCCATTTTAAAGCCTGTTTGAAATTTGCACAACCACCAAACGGAGACCTCTGCAAATGTTTCTGCATGGTGACAGAGAGGGGAGCTCGAGCTGCCATTGATGCCCCTGAAGAACTCTCGGCCAGAGCTGCCATTTTGCATCTGGTTCCACCAGCCCTTGATGGCATCTAGGGAGCCACCGGGTGCTTTGGATTCCCGGATCAAAGGTCAGAAACAGAGTCCTGACCTCAGAGTTGAATCCCCCTCACCTTATCTGCACGCGGCACAGAAAGGACTGGGCTGACTGCCTCTCCAAGGTCCAAGATTCAACCTCGGAGAGCTGTAGTTCAGGAAGGAAGCTGCAGATGCCAGGATACATGGTACCACAATGGCATGCAGGCCTCCCTCTTTCCAGATTGGCCATCCAGCTGAAGTGCCAAGCGGGAGGAGTGGCATGGTGAGGACTGCCCCATGCCCCCCCCCCGCCTGAACCTGGATGCTCGTAAAGCTCTGAGTCCGGGTGCAAACAAGGACTGGAGGTGCTGCGACCCTAGCAATCCTAAGAACATCAGAACCTCTCGTCTTGCTCCCATGACTGCAGAACCACCTTCCAGAAAAGGGAGAAGGAAGAACAGGAAAAGCCAAAGAACAGTACAAGAGCAGAGTTTTAAAAAATACTACAAAAACCTACAGATTGTAAGCAGCAATGGCTACAGTCCACTGGAATCAACAGTATGCATGTCCTCATTGTGATTTTTCTTACCGTTGGAAGTCCACAGCAATTTGTATTACTAGAGATTTATTTCTGTGGGGAGTCTTTACTTTTGAGACTGCCCACAATTATTGTTTGTTCATGCTATTATTGTATTTTAATTATATTTATGGGCTGCCTGGAAAACGTCAAATTCAAGGGAACTATACTCGATGATGATGATGATGATGATGATGATGATGATGGAGGAAGATGACAACAATGCAAAGTACACAAGTGTCAGAAATGTGTAAATTTCAAATTCAATGGTGGTCTGGGATTTTTTAATAGAACAACTACAAAAAGAGTATAAATGTAAAGTATACCTGTGTAAGAAATAGGCACGCACATTCTTTGCACATGACAGCACGTACATGTAGTACCTTTGTCGCTTTCTTTTAAGGAAACTCTGACCACCCTGCATAAAATGGCTCTTAGAATCCCATGCAGAACGTCCTTTTCCTTCTCTCTCTCTCTCAACAACAAGAGGAGTAAAAAAAGCACACACAACTGTAACACACAAACATAAAAAAGGGTCCAGCACATAGTTAATGGTGTCGGCTTCCCGAGACTTGCAACTTAATAAAATTGATCTCACTGCAGTACTGTAATGAAGAACGGTAGGATAAAGCTACCCCTGAACCATGGAAAATTGTATATTGTTACCTCCTTGTGACCTCCTAGCGCTATGGCCATTCTAACCTCTCCAAGCTGTCATTTGTATGATTTTGACAGCAGATGAGAGCAAGCACAGTGGAGGAAAGAGAGGCAGGGATGAAGTCGTCTTAATCGGGGCCAGTCTGTTCAACAATATTAAAGCAAAGCAGTTGTGCCAGAAGCACTCAGAACTCTACGAATAAAATGTCTAAGTAAAGCACAGAACATATAAACGGGCTCCCTTCGAATGCTTTCGATTCTGCAGCGCTGGAATCTGCAGAAAGCTGATTTGCACATCAGAGCAACAGGGGCTGTACAGATCAGGGCTGTAAGAACACAGACTGGGGCTCTTCAATGTTTCAGACCTGCCTAGGTTATTTATTGACTGGTGTGGTTTTCACCCTATTTTTGAGCCAAATAAGCACTGCAGAGCAGCTTACATGGATTACCAAAAAACCGGTCCTTGCCCTTGGGCTTATACTCTGAAAGGCATGACACAAAAGGAAAAGAGATTTGAAGGAGGAGGAAGAAAGCAAGGCACAGGCATCTGTGCTCCATTTCAACTTGCTTGCAGGGTTTTTTCTCCCTGCAGTGCTCCTTCCTTGCATACT